ATTCAATATCTACTATTTCCTGAATATTACTGATGAACTGATCAAAAATTAGGCTACTGTTCACATGCGTTTTACTACTAGTATAATAACAATTTAGTACTTTATCCTGTTATTGTTGGTTTCCTCTTTTCTCATCATTTGGAATGAGGATAAAAAAAATAAAATAAAAAATAAAACATGCAAATAAGTTCAAACATCAGTTCAATATCTACTATTTCCTGAATATTATGAAATTCAAGAGGGCCGCCCCTGATGACGTCATAATATGCAAATTAGATGAGTATATTTACACCCCACATAAACTTTCAGTCATCCCCAACATTTTTCTAATTTACAGTAGATCTCTATCTTTAAGCCCTTTCAAGCCACAAGCTTTTGACATTTTGATGTCAAAATCCAGCATTTTTTCAAAAAAACCTTGGCGCCTACTATTTCTGATCATTAATGCATTACTGTTGCAGTTGCTTTGGCAAAAAAACACACACAAAAGTTGTTTAATACAAAACTTTTAGAAGATAAGCAATTTTGTGAAACTTTTTAATTGTTTTGGGAGACCTGGAAAACAGAAAAGAGTTTTTTTGAAAGTATTATACAGTGGTGGGAAGTTGGTAAAGTGCATATAAGAGATTTTTGCCAAAAATATGCATTTCATTCCTCTTTTCAATAAAAAAAAACTTTTGGAGTGGCTGGAAAGAGAGATTTGTGACATTGAAAAAAAATGGCTGATAATCTAAAAAAAATCAACTAAACTCAATTTTAAATGAAAGAGTTAAAGGAGCTCTCATAAGAAGCCACTTTCTGACTGTAATGCTCCTACTACCTACTTCTTTAATCTGGAGCATAATAAGGGCCAACAAAAACAGATGTACTCGTTGAAGGATGATAAAAGACATGTCACCTCAGATCCGCTGGAGATGCGTAGGCTTGCTGTGGCTTTTTATGCAAGTTTGTTCTCTGCTGAAAGCTCAGATGAACACTGTAGGAATGAGCTGCTTAAGGATCTTCCTGTTCTAACTGAAGAACATAAGGCTTCTTTAGAGACTGAGCTTACTTTCGATTAAGTTACCTCGGCCGTAATGGGTCTCGATGGACTTCCTGGTGAATTCTATAAGTTCTTTTGGGCCACTATTGGTGAGGACTATTTTAAAATTCTTCAAAAATGCTTTCTTGATGGAATTCTTCCAACAAGTTGTCAACGTGCTGTTTTATCATTGCTCCCAAAAAAGGGTGATTTGACACTTTTAAAGAACTGGAGGCCAGTAGCGATTTTATGCACTGAATATAAGATACTTTCTAAATGTTTGGCCAATAGACTGAACTTTGTGTTACAAGAAATTGTGCATAAGGATCAATCTTATTGTAAAGAATAGAAAGAATGTCTTTTATTTTACTCATTGTAATGATGTTAATTTGGGTTTGTTATCTTTAGATAACAATGTTTTTCTTTTTGACACTTTGAAGGCTTTTGGTTTTGGGGATACTTTTATTTCAAAAATTAAACTCTTATATACTGAGGCAAAATTTATGATTAAAATGGCTGGTGGATTGAGTATCCCTATAAGTGTAAAAAGAGGTATCAGACAGGGCTGTCCTCTCTCAGGTCAACTGTACAGTATTGTAATTGAACCTTTTTTGTGTAAGTTGAGGAAAGAGCTAATGGGTCTGAAGGTGTCAGGGTAATAAGCACAGGAAGCAAGATGCAAGTGAAACAGTTTATTATAAATGAAGTAGATGGTGGTAAGTCCAGAGATGACAGGTTAGTGGCGCAGGGACCCCGATGGTCAGATGAAACTGGTGAAGACCGTGCAGCGGTGCGGTGAGAGAATCCAGTGACGAGAAATAATCCAAACGAAATCCACAGGAACATGAACAGGAACAAGGAAGGTACAAGACTCGAGACGTAGACTGGAACACAACACTGGGAAACCACAAACAAAGATCTGACAAAGTAGATGAGAAAGTGATGAGTATATATACACATGATGAGATGAGCTGCAGCTGTTGACGGGAGTGATGAGTGATCGCTGATGATGTTAATGAGTCAGTACCCAATCAGTACACACACACACACACAACAACAGAAACACGAGACAAAAAGGAGACATAGGATTTATGAACCGTGACAGTACCCCCCTCCCTAGGAACGCCTCCTGGCATTCCCAGACTCCCTTACCTGCCGATTGTAATCATCGATAAGGGAGTGATCCAAGATGTCTCTAGCTGGTACCCAACTTCTCTCCTCCGGACCGTAACCTTCCCAGTCCACCAAGTACTGAAATCCGCGTCCCCTCCGTCTCGAGTCCAGAACACGATTGACCGAATAAGTAGGTTCCCCGTCTACGAGTCGCGGCGGGGGGGGAACCGGGACTGGCGGATTAATGCGAGCAAAGAAAACAGGCTTAATTTTGGATACATGAAAGACGGGGTGAATCACTGGAGGAAGATTGAGGCGGACTGTCACCGGACTAATGATTTTAGTGACAGAGAACGGGCCAATGAATTTAGGCGCAAGCTTATTTGAAACGGAGCGGAGAGGAATGTCCTTGGTAGAAAGCCACACTTTGGAACCAACAAAATTATACGGGAGGCCTACGCTGGTGCCGATCGGCTTGGGCCTTGGTGCGCGCCCCCACTTGGAGTAGAGTCTCACGGGCTCTAGTCCAAGTGCGGCGACACCTCTGGACGAAGGCGTGTGCAGAGGGGACCGCACCTTCGGACTCCAGACTAGGAAAAATAGGTGGCTGGTATCCTACACTACACTCAAACGGTGATAGGCCCGTGGATGACACTGGCAATGTATTGTGGGCGTACTCCACCATAGACAGTTGCTGACTCCAGAAGGAAGGATTCTTGGACACTAAACATCGCAACGTTCTCTCCAAATCCTGGTTGGCTCGCTCAGTTTGACCATTGCTCTGGGGATGGAACCCAGAGGACAGACTGACAGTCGCACCCAGGAATTTACAAAACTCTCGCCAAAATTTGGACACAAATTGGGGTCCCTCTGTCAGAAACCACGTCTGTCGGGAGGCCATGTAGCCGAAAGACGTGGTTAACGACAATCAACGATGTCTCCTTGGCTGAGGGAAATTTGGGCAAGGGAATGAAATGGGCCGCCTTCGAGAATCGGTCCACCACGGTCAAAACTACCGTGTGACCCTGGGAGGGTGGGAGGGCGGTGATGAAATCTAGAGCGATATGGGACCAGGGTCTTGAAGGCACCGGCAGCGGTTGAAGTAACCCATCTGGGGGCCGATTGGAAGTCTTACCCGTGGCGCAAACTGAGCAAGCCAAAACAAAACTGTGAACATCGCGAGCCATGAGAGGCCACCAGAATCGTTGCTTGACTAAAAACTTAGTGCGATTGACCCCAGGATGGCAAGCCACATTGGAACAATGACCCCACTGAATGACGCTGGACCGTAAACCCTCAGGCACAAATAAACGATTCGGTGGACAACGGATCGGAGGCGTTACCCCTTCTAAGGCCTTCTTGACCTTCGACTCGATCTCCCATATGAGTGTAGAGATTAATAGGTTCTCTGGTAAAATGCACTCGGGAGTAGACGGGCGTTCGGAACGGTCAAAAATACGCGATAAAGAATCGGGTTTGATGTTCTTGGAGCCTGGGCGGTACGAGAGATTAAAATCAAAACGACCGAAAAAAAGAGCCCACCGAGCCTGTCTGGAGTTTAGTCTTTTAGCAGTCCGAATGTATTCTAAGTTCTTGTGGTCGGTCCAGACGATAAAAGGTACCCCCGACCCTTCTAACCAGTGGCGCCACTCCTCCAATGCTAACTTGACTGCCAACAACTCTCTGTTGCCAATGTCATAATTGTGTTCGGCAAGGGATAAACGATGAGACAAAAACGCGCAAGGGTGCATCTTATCGTCTGAAGGAGAACGCTGGGATAGCACTGCACCTACCCCCACCTCTGACGCGTTGACCTCCACCATGAACTGACGTGATGGATCAGGGGTTATCAGGATGGGGGCTGAAACGAAGCAACCCTTCAGTTTAGCAAACGCCGCCTCGGCTGCGTCTGACCACCTGAATGTCGTTCTGGTGGAGGTCAAGGCGGTCAGAGGTGCGGCTAGTTGGCTGAAATTGCGAATGAAACGCCGGTAGAAATTGGCGAACCCCAGGAACCTCAGTAGGGCCTTACGGGAATCTGGACTTGGCCAATCCACCACAGCCTTAACCTTTTCAGGATCCATGCGCATTCCCTCAACCGAGATGATGTAACCTAGAAAAGTAACAGACTGTGCATGAAAAGCGCATTTCTCCGCCTTGACAAAATGCTCATTCTCTAGCAACCTCTTAAGCACTTGTCGGACGTGCTGCACGTGTTCTTGGAGAGACGATGAAAAAAATCAATATGTCATCCAGGTAGACATATATGAACTAGGGTTGGGCATCTAAGGTATAATGCCGATCCGATATGCATCTCGATACAAAGTATCCGATCCGATATATTAACGATACATGTGTAGCATTTTGCGATGCAATACGATACGATTTACAGTCTTATCACGATACGATGCGATACTTCAGCACTAGCTAATTAGATCAAGTTTATGTGGTGATGTGAAAGAGGATGCGGTGCCATTGAATGAGTTTGATTATTTATTAACCAAGTAAAACCAAGACTTTTTTACAAACTGGCTTTTCTCTCAGAGCCTGAGTGTCGGTTTACAGTAGAGGGCCATTTTAGAACACATGGCACATATTATTTAAGTATTTCCAAGATAAACAGAAGGTATAAGTGCAATGCATACTAAAAAAAAATATTTGCACTCTTTCAACAGAAAGAAGGCTTACCATTGCACAACAAGAATTGTGATTTCAGTTTTCAACTATGAAAATAAGTTTTACAAAGATGTTTTGCCACTGAATATTCAAAAGTTAACGTTGTGAACTAGCAGTGTTATGCTGCTTTTACTTTGAAACATCACTGTCACTGTAAACAACAGGCTAATAAAATAAAATTAAATAAAAATTAAATAAAATTCTAAATAAAAAAAAATGCTTTTTAGAATAGTGCACATCGGTCAGTCACCTTCAGTTAAAGGTTTTTCTTCAGAAATATCAACTGATCAACATGATCAGGGTGAAGCAAGCTACGCTGAGCTGTAACTATATCTCCAGCTGTGCTGAAAACTCTTTCAGCTGGTACGCTTGTTGCTGGGATGGACAGATATCTCTTTGCTAAAGCTGATAGTAGTGGAAGATCTACTTGCAGTTTCCACCACTGCAACACATCCCCATCCAAACCTAAAGTGTCCCTTTCTCTATATTTTAAGATTTCATCCTTAGCTTTCTCCCTGATGGTCTTTGCTGGTGGTCTTGCACTCAGGAAATCTCCAAACATCTGGTCCATGGCAGTCTTTTTCTTTGGAGGGGCATCATCTACAGAAGAGGGCAGAGGAGGCTCATCAGTTGTGCTAAAAATATTACTTTAATTTACAATCTGAAAATTAGTTCACTATATTGAATCTTCACTACATATTTCTGTACATTTTTGGCATTGTCTCCATTTAAACCAACCTGTCTTGTCCTCGTTGGAAGGGCTTTTGTCGCCTTCTGTTTCAGCTGTCTGGTCCTCTTCCAATGTGCCTGTTGCCTGGTCTTCATTCGGCATTGCTGTGTCACTGACCTCTTCCTTAAAAATGCATAAACATGTAAAATAATGCATATATTATTCATATTATTCAAATCATATATTATTAGTTCTAAACTGCAATAACAATCTTACTTTAAATGTTCTTACCTCTCCATTCATCTGTACCACCTCTGTTGTTATCTTCATGAATACCATATCCTTGGCATCACTGTCATCCAGAAAAGCCAGGTCTTTAAAACGGGGGTCAAGTGCTGAGGCACAGTGGAGAGTGCCTTCAAGATATGTATAACGGCCATCAAAGTCCTGCCTGAATCTGTCTTTCATATGGGAAATAACCTCTAGATCACTCTCATCTGGTTGGAATTGTCTCTGCAATTTGGCTTGGACTGGAGAGATAATGGAGATGGTGGGATTTTTTTCCTCACTGAGGAGTGTGGTTGCCACTTTCAGTGGTGACATTAATTTGATGATCTCTGGGATCAGTGTCATGTCATCTTCTGTCAAACTGGCCATAGCCTCACGCCTCTTTATCTTCCTGGATAGCAGGGTGTTCAGCACAGCAGGCTGCTGCTCCCAGAAACGCTCCAACATGTCGAGGGTACTGTTCCATCTGGTGGAAACGTCATGGATGAGCTTGTGGTTGGGCAGGTGTAACTGGGTCTGTATTTCACGCAGAACTTCAGTTGCCTTGGGGCTTTTGTGGAAAAAGGTGACAAGCTTCCTAACTTTCACCACCAGCACAGAGACACTGTCCACCTTAAAGGCTTTTTGAGATGCCAAGTTCAATGTGTGGGCGATGCATCTCACGTGTGGGTCCATTTTGGCACCAGCACCAGCCAGGATCATGTTTCTGGCGTTATCTGTGACTAACGCGGGGCTCTTCTCTTCGATCTTCCACTCGCGGCAAACATCCTGAAGTAAAACGGCTAGATTATTCCCTGTGTGAGCCTCGTTGAACACTCTGGTCTGCAAAACGTGGTTTTTGAGAATCCACCCGTCATCTATGTAGTGTGCTGTGACCGTTACATATGATGCTGTAGCGCAAGATGTCCAACCGTCCACTGTTAAAGCAACTCTTTGGGCTTTGTGCAGAGACTCCTCTATCTCTCTTCTGACTTTGTCGTACAGAGCAGGAATCTGTTTATCGGAGAATAGCTTTCGGTTTGGTATCTTATAACGAGGCTCCAAAACATGGAGGAGGTGTTTAAAACCTTCGTTCTCCGTGACACTATAGGGCTGAATATCTTTGCAGATGAACAATGCAATAGCATCTGTTATTGCCGTGGAGCGCGCGGAATTGTTAGCAAGCGGTGCATGGAAAAAACCTTCAATACTTTTCTCACCACTTTTGGAGCTGGTAGCTACAGGTGAATCAGAGCAGGATGCAGGGGCACTGGCAGATGCTTCCTCCACAACAACACCGTGGCGCCGCTTCAAGTGAGATATCAGATTAGTCGTACTGCCCGTGTATTTTACAGATGCGCGGCACAATTTACAAATTGCATTTGTCTTGTCAAGTCGTCCGTCTTTCTTGTAAAATCCATAGTGTTTCCAAACTTTAGATTTAAAACTCAGTGGAGGATAAATTATCTCGGCATCCGACATGTTTGTTTTGCTTACTCCTCGCGCTTCCCGACAACTACCTTTGGGCGCATCACTGGCTTCATCCGCGCAGCTGATACATTGAGTTATAGTGTACACACCCGCAAAGTCCGTTGCTTAGGCCTACTTTATGTAGGTCGATTAAATTATGTGCCAAAAACAAGTTCACAACACTTAAATAAATAAAGAAATACATTCTGTATTAAAAGGATAAGCTGTATCTCGGAAAAACCGATGCATCTCGCAAAAACCGATGCATCTCGATTTGCTTCCAAAATTTAATTCATCCTCTGCTGCTCTACCGATGCACTCGCATCGTGCACGCGCATGACCGCGTATCGATACATATCGGTTAATCTTCCCATCCCTAATATGAACTGATCGACCATGTCTCGCAATACGTCATTGACAAGTGCCTGGAAGACCGCTGGGGAGTTGGAAAGGCCGAACGACATAACCAAATAGGAGAGCGGGAAACATGGGTCTAGACCGTCATCTGTCCCTTATGGAAATTAATAAACTGGACCTTTCTGGACTAAGCTCTTTTTATAGATCGATTTTAAGATCATGGACACTTTTTAAGTTTTCACGTAGTAGAAATGGGACACAGACATTATGGCTGAAAGAAGAACTGCTACTTTTAATCTTGAATTAGATTTGGACATTTCTAAATCAGACACCCTCAAAAAATCCATGTGGAAAATTGTAAATATTGGACATTTAATGGAAACAAAAGAATGGATAACTGCTGAAAGTATGGCTTTAAAATTGGGACTAAGATCAATCAGATTGGCACAGAAAGTGTTGAATCAGATTGCCACAGGACTATAGACTGGCACTAGAAACTTTTGAAGAGGAGGTGGACAAATGTGTGTTTCCAGAGATGAGTGTCTCTGCTGAGACTGGGACATGGCAAGAAAAGCAGGGTTGCTTGCTATCTTTTAAGACACCACAGCTGTTTTTGTTTCGAGATGCTGGAAAAAAAGACTTGTATACTCTGTGTGTTAAAATATGGCACCTTAAAACACTAAAGAGTGTCAAAGAGTCAAAGTAGCAGGAGATGTTTGGGCTGGGCGCTTCCCCTAAAGGTGGCGGTCTGTGTACAAACCACCTCTTGAGAAGAGATCTGGAGATCTTCAGTGGAGAATTGTACATGGGATTATAGATACGAACAGATACAGAGCACACTTTGACCCACAGGCAGGGAGAGGTTGTCCTTTATGTGGAGATCAGTTTTTAGATTTTAGAATGTGAAAGGCTTCAACCACTTTTTTATAGATTGGAAGAGTGGTGTAATACTCTGGGAAGTTTTTACCCTGATTTTTCATTTATGGACCAAAATATAGTAGTAATGGAAGGGAAGTTCATGTTTTAATTATTTTTTTATTTGGGCAGGCAAAACTGGCCAAATGGTTGTCACGGAAAAAGCTTTTGAGTGGTGATGGATCAACTGATGTGGTGTGTGTTTAAATATAAATGGGGAATAAATCGATGCATTTGTGATGTTGATAATAGGGCTGGGTATCGTAACAAAATTTTCGATACCGATACGATACCTTGACTTCGATACCGGTTCCTGAACGATACTTTTTTCGATACCAATTTTAGGAAATCTGTTTTAACAATATTACATTACCTAATTCTTTTTTCTTTTTTTTCAGTTTGTTGACTTTTTTACACTCATATTTTGAGTCCGTAAAAAAGCACCAATGCTAAATGTTTCCTAAATGTTTAATGTTTTAAAAATCATTTAACAACATGTATTCTTTACTTCAATGAGCTCATTGTTTCTGTCTTAACTTAATGCATTGTTTAACAATGAAACTGTGTACAATGCATTTCAATTCATTTTCATTCAGTCACCTCTGATAACAGATCACTCTAAATTGAAATTTAGATACATGAATTTTCTGTAAAGCTGCTTTGAAACGATATGTTTTGTGAAAAATGCTATACAAATAAATGTGAATTGAATTAAAGGGGCATTATGCAGAAATCCCGTTTTTGTCAAACAGCGACCCCTAGAGTTACTGTGGAGTACTTGAATTTAATGTTACTGTCGTAAATACCACTCACTCAGAGCTTGACATGCCCTGTTACATAGTATACAATAGTACATTGTGTTTAATTTGTCGTTTAATGAGATATAATATATGTTGTTAGTGGTGAGAATTTTCACGTGATTAAATACATAGATCCGACAATTTTAATGGTCCAGAGGCAGAACTTTTGCCAAGTGTGTCAGAGGTTCTGGGTTCTAATCAGTAGTAGTATAGTTTATTTTCCTCATCAAAACCGATTGTTTATTAGTGGTTGTATTTCAAGCAGGGACATGTTTTTTGTGCATTAGATTTTGCGATTTCACCATTACAAAATATAGAGAGTCTCTCAGTCCCCGCAACGGATTCAGGCGCGCGTCACAACAGAACACTGTAACTTATCTGCACCACTGATCGCAGAGGCAACGAGCACTTTGGTCACTTGATTTCAAAACTAACACATTTCAGATCGCCTCTTATTTAATAAACGAATGAAATGAATGCTCTACTAGAGTTACCTGGAGATGTTTTATTTGTTTGTAATGGTAACGTTACATCCGTGCCGCGAGAAGTTTCAATGGGGACATAACACACCAGCAAATTATGCCTATGCTCGTGTCCGACTCCTCGCTCGGTCAGTCTGCCGTTTCCTCTTTCTCTGTTCCTCCGACAATGCTTTCCTAGCTTTCTGCATCTTATATGCCGGCTCAGCCATGACGATAGTGTGACAAACTCCATCCATCTATAACTTGTTCCTGTGTGTATGTGTGCAGTTGCCGTAAAGGAATATGTTACATCGCGAGAGCTGATATCACGCGATACTTCCTGACGCGGCCCGCCGCACCGAAGTTGCAAGTGAGATTTTTTCGCTCACAGGCACCAGGGGGGGTCGAGACGCCCACCATTCAACCCGAAAGAAGTTATATTACCATTTCAATAACTCTGAAGCTGTTCAGTTAAGCTAAAAAAGCTGCATAGTGTCCCTTTAAATATAGGCTACTGGGGTGCAGGATATATGCCTCACACTCAGCACACATAAAGTTTGCCGCAAAGCACTGGCGAAAGTAGCCTAATGATTATGGATGTGTCGGGATAAAATAGCAAGGAGATATTTAATTTTTTTATTAATAAACAAGTGTTTACTGAGTGTGTTGGCTGCAAAGATGAATATGGCGATGTTGACTCGTCATTCCTGCAGTAGTGAACACGCACGCGCGCCTATATGGATTACATAAACTATGTATTTATAATTGCTTCGTTTAAAAGTAGACATATTTTAACCGTCTATAGGCCTATTTTTCATGTCTGTGAGTCAATTATCCTATATGCTGAGTTTCTGTTCTGTTCTGTTCAGATGGATAAACTTTCTACTTTCAAGTGTATTCTGTGCGCTTTTCAGTGCCTTATCAGAGTTATCGTGTTGCCGGTCTTGGCAGCATTTATCTTGTCGAAAATATTGCATCGCGTGCTTCTGGCATCGAGTGTGGTACATAGGTAGGTACTCTTTTGATCTTTTCCACATATTTTCTAGTTGGGACGCTCACACACACACACTACAGCCTCACGTGCGACGAGCCACGTCTCTCTGGGCAAACGCGTAAACTAACGCTAGTGTTTTTCCGCCACAGCCAATCATGCTGCATCCTTTTTGTTTCACTGACGTTGACTAGATTAACTCCTTAGGTATCAAAATTTGGTACCGAAAAACAAGACATGTTTCGATACTCGGTAGTATCGAGGCAATTAGGTCGGTACCTAAAAAGTATCGAACTTGATACCCAGCCCTAGTTGATAATGATGGCTGCCTGGAAATGTATATTTAAGTGTATTTGTGTTTGAAAAGGATTATTATTTTAGTTTTAGTTTTTTTTTCTCTTCTCCTGGAAAATTGTTAATGTGAAAAGTTAATATTTTTTTATTTTTTTGTAAATAAATAGTAGTCAGATAGTAGTCTCTCTCTCTCTCTCTCTCTCTCTCTCTCTGTGTGTGTGTGTGCGCATGTGCGGAATCGGAGTGAGTGTGAGGAGCGTTGAGCGCGGAGTGTTTGAGCGTGTGAGGTACGAGTGATTCTTATTTTTCCTTCTTTTCTATCTTTT